ATCGGTTATTAACTACCCAAACATACCATCTGCGATGAGACCTGTGCCTCACAGCGACGAAAATCCTATTCCAAAACCCCCAGAATCCTACACTTGCGAATCAGAAAACGAATCAGATCATCGCGATCGAGTGATTTGTCAGGAAGAAGATATGCCATCAACGTCAAGAGATCCTGATTTTATACCGAGCACGTCATGCCACCAATCGCACAAAATAACACAGTCAGAATTAAATGACCTTGTAAGAGATTTAGAACTTCCAAAATGTAAGGCAGAGTTACTTGGATCAAGACTGCAGCAGTGGAACTTGTTAGAAGACGATGTTTCGGTATGTGTTTTTCGTAAACGCTACAAAGACTTAGAACCATTTTTCAATATGGAGAATAACTTGGTTTTCTGCAGTAACATTAACGGCTTACTGGCGGCTTTAAATATAAACTATAACCCAGAAGAATGGAGATTGTTTATATACAGTTCAACATTGAGTTTAAAGGCAGTGTTATTGCATATTGGAAATATTTTACCATCTCTTCCTGTAGGGTATGCAGTTCACATGAAAGGATCATATGACAATATGAAGTACCTATTGACATGCATAAAATACGATGAGCACCAATGGCATATTTGTGGCGATTTGAAAGTTGTTGCACTTTTACTTGGGCTGCAGCTAGGCTACACAAAGTTTTGCTGTTTTTTGTGTGAATGGGACAGTCGGGCAAAGGCACTTCATTACACCAGACAAAACTGGCCTGTTCGTCAATTCCTAGAGCCAGGTCAAAAAAAATGTACAGCATATGCCATTAGTAGATTCGAAAAAAAATTTATTACCACCACTGCATATCAAGTTGGGCCTAATGAAAAACTTTGTCAAGGCATTAGATAGAGATGGGTCAGCTTTTCAATACCTGCGTCAGAAATTTCCAAGACTAAGTGAGGCAAAGGTTAAAGAAGGTATTTTTGTTGGGCCACAGATTCGAAATATTTTGAATGATACACAGTTTGAAAACACTTTAACAGGTATTGAAAAAATAGAAATAGAAAAGCTGACAACTATAAAACCCTTGTCAAAAATATGCTGTCATCGTATCAAAAGATGGGCTGTAATTTGTCTCTTAAGATACATTTCCTACACTCACACCTGGACTTTTTCCCTGACAATTGCGGAGCCGTAAGTGATGAGCACGGCGAATGTTTTCATCAGGATATTTCAACAATGGAAAAAAGGTACCAGGGAAAGTGGAATCCTTCCATGCTTGCAGACTACTGTTGGACCCTTGGTAGAGATGCTCCAGAAACGATCCATAAAAGAACAGCAAAAAGACAGCGCATATAGGGATTCTTATAAGTATATGAATCTTGTTACTTTTTTTAATATATCCTTAAAAATAAAAAGTTTTTTTTTTAAACCGCAACTAATTTTTTTATTTCATTGTCATTTTTGGATTCAGCGCCCCAAAATTAACAAAGAAGTGCATTTTTCACACAAGATACAATTAAAAAACTAAAATTTGTTGTCCAGTGTTATTATTATTATTGTTATTAAAGATTTGAATAATCGGGTAGATGTCTTCCGTATGATGTCAAAGGTAGAAAAAACATTTTTTCAAAGATAAAAGAATAAATGATTTTACAAAAGTAATTATCGATTGTTCTATTTTCATCATATCGGTCTTGGCCTTTATATACTATTGTCGTATCATCAGGAAAACTGACTGTTATACCCGCACAGCTAATTCTGAATATATCATTCAAATAGATGTTCAACAGACTAGGCCCTAGCACTGTGCCCTGAGGTACACCACATTTGACAAACATTCCCTTACTGTATGATTTTGATAGTTTCATAACTTGGGTATTTTTAATAAATAACTTTGCATTAATAAATATGTTTTTCCACGAAAAACTGATTTGTTTAAAATCTCCAACAGTGAATTGTGATTGACAGTATTGAATGTCTCTATTAGATCGACAAATACACATACAAATGGAGCTTTCTCATCAAAGTTTTGGGTGATTTGATTCACCACTACCTGTGGTAGATTTTCCTGCGACCAAACCGTACCGATTTGGGCTTAGAGTTTTTTAATTTATCAAGAAAATGTGCCATCTTACGACAGAGTAATTTTTCCAATACTTTCTCCAAGATCGATAGGTATGTCAGGTATTAAATAAGGTACCCGGGGGTAATAAGGCCCACCAGATATTAAGACCCAACGCTGGCTTGCCCAAAGGAAAGCGCCTAAAATATTTATATCGCCATCTGTTAATAATATTTAGTATTACTGTTGCCGGAAATGTAATTCTGTTCTATGGTTATGAGCTTCCTGGCTTGTTCTATGGTGTCACGTTTCGCTGTGCTGTATTTTATAAGAATTTCGACCGGTAAGTAAGCAAATTAAATTGTTTTAATAATACGTAGATTTTTCATTGTGTATGCATGATAATCTATGTATCTGATAGTTTCATTTTACGTAGCGTTTCTTTTTATGTTGGGTTTGTTTGTTGTTTAATAACCTCAAAATTAATTTTATTGTGCTACAGGTTATAAGGCCCGGGCCTTATTTTCTACAATGCATTGAAAAAGGCTTGGGCTTTATTTTCTGCCGCCATGAATACACGTATTCATTAGATTTATTTATTCTTTTACAGAAGATGGGTAAAAATAGCAGAGGGATAAGGGCGAATTGGGATGAAGAGATGATGAGAGAGGCATTAAATTATATTAACGAGGGAAAATCTCAGCGCTGGGTGGAACAAAAATGCGGAATGCCCAGACGAACACTTAGGAACCACATTAAATCACAAAGCGTGAAGAGAAAACTAGGTAGACAAACAATTTTGACCGATAATGAAGAAACTGACCTTGAGAATAAAATAATTCGGCTAGCCGATAAAGGTTTTCCGCTAACACCAAAAGCATTAAGAAGGTCTGTGTTCAGGTATGTTGAGCAAAAGAAAATTAAGCATTGTTTCAATCAGGAAACTCGTCTCGCTGGTAAGGAGTGGGTAAGGACTTTTCTGAAAAATCATCCGAGAATATCAAAACGTCGATCTCAATTCATGAATCCAGCAAGAGCCTAAAAATTAAATCGTTTTATCGTAGAAGATCATTTCAAAAAACTAGGAGATTTGTTGGAGCGCACTCAGTTAAAAAATAAAGAAGCAAAAATTTATAATATGGACGAGAAGGGTTGCCGCTTGACTCTTCACCACCAACAAAACGTTCTGGCAGCCAAAGGAGCAAAACGAGTGCATGTAATTTCTCATGAACACGCCGAAAACGCAACTATCGTCGCTTGCGCTAATGCTCTCGGACATGCCATACCGCCTGTCATTCTTTTTAAGGGCAAGAGAATGAAGCCAACCTACTCAGATGGCTTACCGGCTGGCTCAAAAGTTATGATGACGCCTAAAGGGAGCATGACGATAGAAACGTTTGATAAGTGGTTAGACCATTTCATTGAATACATGTCGCCTCCGCCAGTAATTTTAATTTTTGATGGGGCCAAATGCCATTTGGATATTAGCATTGCTGAGAAAGCAGAAGCTCATGAGATTCACTTATATTGTCTGCCGAGTAACACCACCCATGAGCTTCAGCCGATGGACAAAGCTATATTTCGAGCATTTGAAGCTTATTGGGACGATGAATTGTTAAAGTACTGGGATAAACATCCTACACGTGATTTAAACAGGGAAAGATTTTCTGAAGTTTTCACACCTACATGGCATAAAGCAATGTCCATTGGAAATATTACAAGCGGCTTTCGAGCTACGGGAATATGCCCTTATGATAAGGATGTTCTTCCCATTGAAGCATTTGCCCCAAGTCTTGCAACTGAGAAACCTTACCAGGAGACGACCGCCGCTGCCGATGATTCGGAATATGATTCAGATGACTACCTGCCTTTAGGTGAATTGCGTAAAAAGTTAATCCCTTTGAATAATTCCTTCGCGGAAGTGTTACCAACACCAGATCTAGTCAAAAAAAATATGCTCCAAGGCGTAAAGCTATAAAATACAAAGCAGTTGAAGTCAAGCGATCCGTATTTTTAAAGGAGGTGGAGTCTCAACTTGATCCCGTTCCAGTCTTATCGAATACCGCTAAATCGCCATCTGAATCTGTGTTTTCCATTGCATCAAAAACAAAAGAACATAACGAAGAATGGCACTGTGTGATTTGCTACGAGGACTATGTAGCAGATATGAGACGATGTGCTTCTTGTGGTTTTTGGGTCCATGAGGATTGTGCTAGTTTGACTGCGGACGATACTAAAAATTTTTTGTTTCCATGCCTTAAGTATTAGATTTATACTTAAGACCATATTTTATCTTTGATACTGTTTTTTTAGTGTGTTACATTTATTTTTTATTCTATCAGTATTTTGTTGAACTGTTATTTTTTTTATCTCTCATTCAAATCTCATTATATGTCGTTGCAGATATTAAGGCCCAAAGGGATATTTTGGATATCATTATTTTAATATTTTCTTTTTATTTTTTTATTTTTTTTGTGTTTTGTTTATTCGTTTGACTTGTTTTTTGTTCATTTATGGGCCTTATTATATGCACTTGCAGGCTTTAAGGCCCAGAAGACAATTTTTTTAATGTTCGCGTCTCGACATATAAGCATGATTATTTTGTGTTCAAACATTACCATTATGTTAGTTTATACCCTTTTCTATTTTTTATAATAATAAAAGTTTGAAAAAGTAAATTTCTCTAGTAGATATTAATTATAATTTCTTAGGTGGGTACCTTATATGGTTTTGCGTTGAAACGATGATACCATCTTTTCAAAGGTTTCACAAGACTTCGCACCATGCTCAAAATCAAGGTCTCTTTTGTCCAAAATAGTGAAAACGTGGTGATTGTTGTTCAACTAAAAGAGCCTGCAATTTTAGCTAGTGCGATTTAGCGTTGTGAAACTAAATTCTTTTAACTAGTCTAACTTATCTGTTTATTAACTCTTTATCTAACATAGATGTGTAGTATATTTGAAGCTACCTCGTAGTTAATTTCTCCCACTACCCAACTTCGAATCGCGCCACACTCTCGATGTTATCAATTTAACTTCGGTCAAGTGCCACACATTTATTAGTTAACACGATACCTCTCGTAAATAGACTTCACGGCACACTAAAAATACGATATACACCTGCCAAGCCTCACTCGCTCAACTCACGTGACCACCTGGGATTCTTACAGCACAAAAGACGGAAAATAAAAATAAGTTACTAGAAATTAGAGTGAATTTGTTGCATCTTACCTTGAATGAAAAATATTCCCGAAAGCGGCTGTTATCGGTCACATTAGACAAGCTAGAGTGAACTGTCTGTAGATAAACAACGCACATGATCACTGAGAGCATTCCATTGGTGATTGTGTGTTGTGCGAGAGCACTTGTTGCATCGGTGCGTTTCAGATGCTGATTCTCTAATTGTGCCGCGGCGACATGGTTTACACACGAAATTACAGAAAAATTCTGGCTACGCCGCGGTAATGTGACAAAAATTTGCGGTGCGGCGCTCGTTCGACGTCTTGCCAATTTTCTAGCGAGGGGACCTGAACTGTCTGACAAAAGTTTAAAATACATTATCAGATGTGTTTTCAGTTCAATCGCTGAAACGGTTGGACGTAAACGTGATTATCGTTAGACTGTGAAAATTTAGTTCCTGGCTAAAAATACAGGATATAATTCCTTAGCTCATTTAGGGAAGAAAAGTTTATATGAATGAATGTCCTTTTGTGTTAAAATCTTAAGAACAAATTCGTTTTCTTATTATTACTTTAATATACTAAGTGACATATAAATCCGAACACCCAGTTTAAATGGTTTTATTTTAATAAAAGTTGGTGAATGTATTTATCTTACTGTAAATAACAAGTGAAAAAAATTTCAACCATATCAGTTGGACATTCCGGTTTTTATACTGCTTTTTTTAATTCACTAACGTTGTAAAAATGAATATTTCAGCCGCAGTAAAGAATCAACGTTGGCGGATTTTGGTTCTTGACATCCTTTAGGATCGGTTACGATGCCCAGAGTACGGAGACCTGTACGATTTCGTCAACTTAGTGAGTTTGATAGGGGCCGTATAGTGGGACTTCGGGAAGTTGGACTTTCTTTTCGGGCAATTGCAGTTAGAGTGCAAAGAAGTGTAGACACTGTGGTTAGGTGTTGTCAGGCATGGCTTCGAGAAGGCCGTACGCAAAGTGCAAGGGGCACTGGACGCCGCCGTAGAACAAAAGACCGTGAAGATCGCCGCCTAAGATTATTGGCCTTAAGGGACCGTTTCTCCACTACCAGGTCCATTGCAAATGAATGGTTTGCAGAACACGGAAGACCTATTGGCATACGAAGTGTTTACCGACGAATGAGAAGTTTTGGCTTGTTTTCATACCGGCCACACTGGGTCCTCCCTTTAACTCGAGAACACCGACGTTATCGCCTTGAGTGGTGCAGACAACGGTCACTCTGGGATCAGGAATGGAACAGTATTGTCTTTAGTGACGAGTCTCGATTTTTTTTAGGCATGCACGATGGTCGTGCCAGGGTTAGAAGGCGACGTGGTGAAAGGAGGAATCCACAGTTTTTTGTTGAAAGACATGTTCATCACACTGTTGGAGTTATGGTTTGGGGTGCTACAGCTTATGGTTCCAGGTCACCTTTAATCTTCATCAGAGGTAACATGAACGCGCAGCGTTATATCCACGAAGTTCTAGAACCCCATCCTTTACCCTATCTTGACACCCTGGCAGATCCAACTTTCCAACAAGATAATGCCCGACCACATGTTGCAAGAGTGACAATAGACGTCTTTCAACATAATGATGTCACATTGTTACCATGGCCACCAAGATCTCCCGACTTATCCCCAATTGAGCACGTGTGGGATATGATGGGTAGGAGATTGCTCAATTTGTAACGTCCTCCTCAGACTCTAGAAGCACTTCGAGAGGAGTTGGTGGTTGCCTGGAGTGAGATACCACAGGAGAACATTGACCACCTGATCAGAAGCATGCCTAGGCGCGTTGGAGAATGCGTAGCACATCAGGGTGCATCCACACATTATTAAAGGTCAAAGGGCTTTAAAGCAGTGCAATCATTTTGAAATTTTTATCATTTACTTATTATGCACTTATACAAAATTTTATTAAAACCATTTAAACTGGGTATTTGGATTTATATGTCACTTAGTATACTTCTCTAGATATTTTCATGAAATTTGACATGCACCAACTAAGCATCAATAGGCATTTTTTGAATTTTTGAATATTTTTTATAGTTCTACCAGTGGCGTCCGTACAGGATGTATACTAGAGATTTTTCAAAAAACATGTTTACGCCATTACCTTTCCGAAAAAAAACTAATTTTTGTGATTCTCATTTATTTAGCAACAAATTTGACGTCTTGACTTTTTCCCTTCCGATGCACCGGTTTCGCGTAAAAAATAAAGACCATTTTGATATCATTTTCACTTGAATAAACATTAAACAAAAACACATTTTATCTACAAACGACTACATAAGATTTTAGCGATTTTAAAATGCATAAAAATTAAAAAAACAAGTTTTGACAATTTCTGTGGATCAAATGAACTACTATTTAATTTATTTATCAGAAGAATTGCTGAAAATGTCCTTCTGCTAGAATACCATGTGTATTTCTTAAGATTTGGCAAGAAATTGAAATTTTCTGCTCTACAGTTTGAACCGGTGTAGTATAAACTAAAGTCTTGAGGTGCCCCCACAAAACATGGTCTAAACTATTTAAATCATGGGACTTGGGATGCCAAGATTGAGTTCCCCGACGTCCTGTGCAGAGATAATAATAATAAAATGTGCAGGAGCACCATCATACAGGTACCACATTTCTTCTCTTAATAAAAAAGGTACATCCTCGAGCAAAATTGGCAAATCGTTTTCAAGATCCCAGAGCCAAAACTTCTCATTCGTCGGTAAACACTTCGCATGCCAATAGGTCTTCCGTGTTCTGCAAACCATTCATTTGCAATGGACCTGGTAGTGGAGAAACGGTCCCTTAAGGCCAATAATCTTAGGCGGCGATCTTCACGGTCTGTTGTTCTACGGCGGCGTCCAGTGCTCTTTGCGTACGGCCTTCTCGAAGCCATGCCTGACAACACCTAACCACAGTGTCTACACTTCTTTGCAATCTAACTTCAATTGCCCGAAAAGAAAGTCCAGCTTCCCGAAGTCCCACTATATGGCCCCTATCAAACTAAGTTGACGAAATCGTACAGGTCTCCGTACTCTAGGCATCGTAACCGATCGTAAAGGATGTCAAGAATCAAAATCCGCCAACGTTGATTCTTTACTGCGGCTGAAATATTCATTTTTAGTGCGTTAGTGAATTAAAAAAAAGCAGTATAAAAACCGGAGTGTAAAACTGATAAGGCTGAAAATTTTTTCTCTTGTTATTTACAGTAAGATAAATACATTCTCCAACTTTTATTAAAATAAAACCATTTAAACGGATTTATATGTCACTTAGTATATTATTTACATGGTATAAAATTTAGACATCCATCTAAAGGTACGCCTAGTAGAAGAAAAAATTAAATGACCTTCCTCCTCTTCCTGGGAGGAATTGCTGCCGGTGCACATGATAGCTGGATCAATTATGTGATGGCTGTAATTGTTTTTGAACTTTCTCTCCAGTAAAAATATTAGCAAATTTACCGGAAACCGAATCAAATAAATTTGAATGTGGTCACATCTGTCAGTGTTTTAGCGTTGCCCGTCCTGGACTAAGAACAGCCTGGTCCGACGTAACGCGACGGGACGTCTCAACGCCAACGCTCAGTCCATCATACGACGGCGCGTCGCGTCGCCGGGAAGCAACGCGCAATTTCCCGCCGTCTGCCAAGCTACCAACTTCAATATTTTTATCAGGAATGTACAACTACAACTAGCGACCAACCCACGTTTCCTACTCTACTTACATAATTATATCATTGTATGCTTCTATTGTCGCTGTAACCTTTTGTATGAATCAGATCCGGTACTAGAATCATACAGGACCGATATACGATGATGTATATAAACATCTGAAACTTATCCTGTGATTTTCAATCTAATAAAACTCCACGTTTTTTTGTGGCCGCTGATAGGGAATAAGGGCTAATTATTTTTATTTATCGTCTTTATTGCTACAGAATGGCACCTTCCACCTTATTTTATACTTAAGCGCTACACATTTACATCTTTGTCGTATCCACAGACTGGATTCTTGAGATATAGCCTTCCTGAGTGCAATCAACAATGCGTAAGTTTTTGGTTAATGTGTGCAACTCAGGTTTGTTAGTGAAGTGAGACAGTCCAAACAGCAATAAGGATCAGTGAATATCTGGCTGACTTCCAAAGTTCCAAAAAGAATAGCTGAGCGGGCCTTGATCGGAACATGCCCTAAAGAATGGAATTTTCCTAATTTAATATAGCTACACTCAAGTCTAAGTAGTTCTACAGCTTACTGGCATGGAGCCCTGCAAAAATATAATTGAGGCCCCAACTAACAAGTATCACTCCTATTAGAGTTGCAAGAATGATTATACAGTATTCCTTACACAGCATTGTATACTGTAAGAACATTGGCAAAACCCTCTTAGAACACCTATACAAGCCGAATAGGCACACCTAATAGCACACTTCACTCATTTAAGAGGTTGTATAAGGGCTGCAGGTAACAGTTATACAAACAAAGTGTAAGCCTCTTGCAGCCGCTATAGAACATTTGCGTCAGTGCAAGATTCAGTTTCTGTCAACTATACAACTATTCTGTTACGTGATTTTACTTTATTGCAACCAAACTATTTCTTATGTATTATATAGACGAAGTGAAGAATATACAACTAACACATTACAGTCATATTGTTTACTTACATATCGGCCATTGTGAATTTCATACACAGGTATAAGATAAACTTCTACACTGTGATATAGGGCTATTGAATTACTTGCGCAGCAAATTTTATTGTGATTATCGTGCAAAGTAGTTACGCAATTTCTATGGTCTTCGTATTTGATTCATATTTTAATAATGATCAAAAGTATGCCTAGATTTTTAAGATGGAAAACTGAACTTATCTTCGTTAAATCTTCCACAAATCCTATATTTAGACACAATTACACTAATGTTTCTCACTTTATATCTGTAATTTCGAACTGAAACATCGTCCATGTTGTCTTTGGTTTATTAGAATATTTTGGTGTTGCCTGCATTTGTTATACAACAATTTGACAAATGTCTGAAATGAAATACCGACAGAGTCGAACGATTTACCCAGAATTTGTACCAGATCTATATCTTCTGTTTGAACAGTTGATAAAACCTTTTGGACCAATATGCATGCGTTGTTTGTCTCAAAACATTGATTATGGTATTTTAACAAAAATATAACAGCAGAAAGTTGGGTTATGGTGAAGTTGTATACCAACATATTTAACAACAAATGTATGCCCAGAACAGCAATTTTGTACTACAAAAGTTGTAATATTGTTGCATATGTACAGCCTTTAACAGTTACTAAACAACAGTTGTATAAGTGATTCCGTTGGAAGCAATTTGTTGGCTAAAGTAGTAAATTTGCACAGCAAAACAAAAAGGGTTTGTTTTATAAACGTTACCATGGATGCCACAACACAACCATTTTGACTACCGTGCAAATATGCCATACAAAATAGTTGTATAAACGTTTATGCAACAGTTAAAAGTTTGTCCTATAAGGTGTTGTATAACTATGCTATAAGAATATTTTAAACACCTCATTTTAGAGCAAATATGTTGCAGAAAGCAAATTTGCATTCCACACAACATTAAGCCAGCATTTTGGTGGAACTTTTATGGCTGAACGGTTCTTTTACCAAAAGCTTATAGCACTACTTTGCTAGTTGGGGCGTGTTTTTACAAAAACAACATATGTCCAAAATACAAAATTTTCAGGAAACAGAAAAAACGATTTATTTCAAAATAATGTTCTTGAATACTTTTTTGTTAATTACTATTAATAATAACTAAAAAATATGTGTGCTTAAATAATCAAATGAAAACAATTAAAAACTGTTGGACATAAGTTGTTTTTGTAAGAAAAAAACGAAGTTCGAAAAGTATTACCTTTATTTCAAAAAAGAACAAAATTATTATATAAAAACGGATTAATAATGATAAACAATAACTTAATCTTCGCATCCACTGCTATTGTCGTCTTCTTGAATGTCGGATTTAGGTGTATTATTATCAATGATACGTTCGTAGTACTCTTTGTTAGATACGAAGCGTAGTAACGATAATAGCTATTTTAAATTTCTGCTTTATTTGAAGCAACTGGTAGTAGTTCATCGAGTGTCTTTCAAGTTGGACAGTGCAGGGTAAATTTGCTTCAGCATCGAAATTGTTACGTCTTAAGTCTTAGCAATAAACCAAGCAAACGTAAACTGAAGAGATATTGTGGGTAATCCAATGCAGCTGTAATTATGGAATAACCACATCAAAGAAACAAAAACATTATTTTTCATTTTTATCGGTCTTTGATTATAAATGCTTTGCAAAATAAAATACAAATTGAAACGGCAATTCATTTCTTAACCTTGTTGTGGAAAAAATATTTCTTACAAACCAGATACTTCATTTTTTCATTCTTTTTTAAGCAGCAATTCAATAATCAAGCTGAATTAGATGAATATCTAGGGCTGCCATCAGTCTGGGACTCCTCGGCTTTGTAGTAGTTTGGAGGGCGTCCGGGGATTATCCGTAAGAGGTTTTTAAAAAGTACCCGGAGATTCCCCGGACACTCTTTGTGTCAGAGGAATCTTGTGAAATGTAAGACACATGTTCTAAAAACTGTTTTGTTCTACAACCCAGCACAACGACTCGCATCACCCTATACATACACATTCGCACCGTCCTGTACAACCAGCCAGGCGAGGCCTTAGCAGTGCGAGGACGAAGACAGCCAACCTGGTGCGACGATTTCGTTTCATCTGTCCTGGATACCTACCCGATGAAGGAATTTACCATTTAATACGTTAGCATCTGATCATTCGACACGATCAGTCAGCTTGTGCATCCGGCGATAGGTCACACGCGTTCGATATTCGACCCGTATTGGATCAGCAGATATACCTGTTTAACCTTTCGTATTCATATAGTTTCAACGGGAGAAGCAATACGTAACAAGTTTTATTATATGAACCCACTTTTCACTTTTCACAGCTGTTTAGTACTATTTCGCAACTCATCAACATGGTGACCTGCACGGGCATTTTTTACAACACCTATATAACGTCAAAAAAGTCTATAAAATGTCATCTTGCATATTAGCTAGTTTTAGACTAGGCAATTTTTTTCTCACACATTCTGTCAAGGGCGGATTTAGGATTTCGTCTAGGGGGGGGGGCGAGGGGCGCAAACGATATTTGGGTCTGGTAATTTTTTTCAACCTCAGTGGAACTTCTAGAATTTATCCTATTATATCTGTTAGATCGTAATTATTTTGATAATGGATGCTTGTAGATACGAAACAAGTACAGGAATAATAGGGATGTACATCTTCAGGTCCACCGTGGAAGCTCTGTGATTTAAACGAATTCAATATGGTACCTAACATAAATAGACACATACGCGAGAAGAGATGCGGGACGTGTGGTATTGACTTTGAGCATCGATCGACACATTTTCTGGACAAGCCACAGGCGCACCGCTAAACAAATCTCATAAATATCTATTTCCAATTTAGGCGTTGATCTAACATAGTGCTTCGCTGCAACACCAACCCCGAGAACTAAATCAGTCAAGCTTTACACACTTTTCAAATTACTATTGAGCAACAAGCAGTACATACATCACTTTTGAAGTGCAATCTGGTATAGTTAATATATTAACTCAGACTTAGATTTGTCACAAGTCACAATACCCGTACTTATATACGTATAAATCGTAAGAATTGTGCTGTAAACGACGTCAAAGAGAGACAGCGTTTGGAATACCAGAAGATAGCGAAAAATCGCAATGCTCAGTTCCGCCCCGCGCCAACCCCCCCCCCCCCCCCCCCCAAATCTGCTACAGAATTCTGTTTGATCTCCGTTCCATATATAATTTTCTGATAACTGTTTAGTTGATATTATGTATGGCCGAAAAGAAAGGTGTTTCTAATTATTTTTTACTGGAATAGGTACCTACTTCAGAAAGAGATGAGTATAATTTTATTAGTAATGTCTTAAGTATTTCATTTGTTATGCTGTAAATTTTGGTCGATTTTATCAATTTTTGTCAAATATCGCTATAACAAAGTTTTTGAAATTAAGTAATAAAAAATGAAAATGATGTTTTTATTTTTATTATGAAAAAAAATCTGGAGAAAAACTCGTATTCGCGAATATCGACAGTAAATATTCGCATTTATGAAAGACTAATTTAATGGTAATTACATCCCTAATATAGAGTCAACCTACTTGACTACTTTTCATTGTCTAAAAAAGCGGCCATCTGTTGGTAAAAAATCTGAACTCTTAAATAAGAGTTCCTGTTTACTACTCCACATGAGAAGACTGCGTTACGACACTGGAAGTCTTCATACTGCTCAATAGATAGCGCTTTATGTCAAATTGGTAAGGTTGGATTGAAATGACAATTTGACAGTTAAAACCAGTTATAACCTCACATTTTACCGTTTTGACATGTTTTGCAATTTTTACTTTGATTTTTGAAAAAGAATATAAACCGTTAAATAATGAATGCGTTTACGAAAAGTAGAGAACTAAGAAAACTGCCAGCGCTATTGTCAAAATGGTACAGTGCAAAGGCAGCTCCGGAGATCGAGCAACTGGTGAAGGCAAGCAAAGTAGTAGTGTTTATGAAAGGAGTTCCCGAGCAACCCCAATGTGGCTTCAGCAATGCTGTGGTTCAGATATTGCGGATGCATGGTGTAAAGTATGATGCCCATAATGTACTGCAAGACGAAGATTTGCGTCAAGGTATAGATATAACATTAATTAGATGAGCAATGCCATAAGTACACAATACAAGTAGAGCAGACTAGAAATATTTGATAGAACCGTTACAATTAAAGGATACTACTTGCCCCAAAGTTTGGAATCATTTTAAACATAAACAACCTCCACCCAAAAGTAAAATATATATAGTGTATAAAATTGAATTACCAGTGCTTTGCTGATACTATCTTAAAATATTCAAAAGATATGTTACCTTTTATGTTTCAGCTATAATCACTGTTAATACTATCATAAATTATTGAAGAGTTTACATTCAAATAAAAAAGTAGTATATCACATGACCATTCATTATCATCATTTAATATTATGCTAAATGATTCCATGACCCTGGAGGAAAAAACCAAAATAAGTATGGTCAGTGTAAAACATGTGAACTGTTTATTCAACATAATGAACATAAACCTTATTTATGAATATGCTATCCTTATATTAATATTGTACTGAACCTCAAGATGAACATATAGGCTCACCATAAGATTTTTAAAGCCAAAATATATGTTGAGTATCATGCTTTTAATTTTGAATATAATAGCAAGCATTAAAATCATTGTACCATTCAACAGTATATCCCACTGTCAATATATAAAGATGGCATCTAGTAGGTTGTCACATGCAGTTCAGTCATCAACTAGGTTATACTTTTTTATTTAAAAAAACAAATGTGTTATGAGGGAGACCAATGGAGATATTTTGGCATTATTGTCTGCAATGTGTAGACACATACCTGAACAGAATTTCTCCACAGGACTACAAACTCAAGCAAGAATGACTGAATTGTGAGCATTGTGGCAGCTTTTATTACATTAATCATTGTTCCAATAATTTGGCAATCTGACAGCAGTACACAAAACTAGTTGGGAATTATTAAAAAGTATAGCTGGACTAGACAAATATTGCCTATTGCATCATTACACTATTGTGATTTTTATGAATGTTGAACATAGACAGTCTTTTTCATAGGTAAAGGAACAGGCTTCCCAAAAATATTCTTGTGAGCCATTATTATTATCATACAGGATGTAAAAAGCTAGTCTGTTGTCCCCATATACACTTTCAAAATTTATATTCTGAAATATACACTGCCATTCCAGTAGCAGCCCTTAGGAGCCTGTATTTCTGTATGAGAACCCAATCAAACATATTTTTTAAGGAACTTGTGGCATTATTTTTGTATTATAATTGCATGTGAGCGATTGCGATCTTATTCTAGGAAACCCAATATTTTTTCAGTCTTTCAAAAACTGTAATGAAGGAAAGCTAGATGTAGATGGCGCTAGTTAGGTTGGGGGTCATGTCTAAGGTTGTAAACAGACCAAAATGTAAATAACTGATCAACTATTGACATTAATAGATGTCAAAACATGATGAATTATTACGAAAAATAAAATTAAATACTACTTTTGGCAGTCTGACCTCCAGCCACAATAGCGCCGCCAAGCGGCGGCCAAATTGGGCACTTGCACTATAAGAAACTTGTGCTGGTAATACAATTTGGCCTAATCGTTTTTTTTTTCACTTCTGCTTATACTTAGCAAGTTTTTTTATTTGTAGGTATAAAGGATTTTTCAAATTGGCCAACAATACCTCAAGTCTTCATAAATGGTGAATTTATTGGTGGATGTGACATCATGCTACAGATGCACCAATCAGGAGATCTGATTGAAGAATTAGAAAAGGCTGGAATCAAGAGTGCTCTTTTGGAGAAGGAAAAAGAGAAGTCAGAAAAGGACAGTGGGTCGGAGAAATGAAGATAAGACTGCAAAATGAATGGTGTTTATTTTCTTGAATTTTAGTAGTATGTAGGTTATTTATCTCAAATTATAGTTTGTGTTTTAAAATGTTGTGTTCACTCCTTTACTAGGTATTACATTTCTCAAAGAAATTTCCTGAAGTATGATGCAACGAGATTTGCGACATCATTGCAATGATGCTTATGAATCATGTCTCCATGCTGTTTTGGCCATTAACATATGTTGAAAAAGTCACTTTACTAACATCTTGGATTTTACGAATAACTTTAAAAAGCCAAACTAATGAGGAACGTGAATTTAAATTGTAGATGTTACGCTTTTCCGAAGTCGATCCAAAAACGGCAAATTATTGATCAATAATATCAAAAATACAAAGAGCCATTCACAATAATATCAGTTTATTTTTTACTAGAAAAAGATCTATCAAAAACCAAACTAAAGATCTGTTCTTCATCCAATCCAATCATTCGCAGTTGCAAGACGGCCCTGTTACGAACAGGGTTATCAATCTAAATTAGGAACATATTCCCACATTCCTAACCTATAATTTTAATGTTGGTTTTCGACCCTTCGGAACACATGGTTTTAATATCCAAAAACTATTTTCAATCGCTGACCATCCAACATGAAAATACAATCGTATATCTATAAACATTTGCATTTTCATAATCACCAACCTTCTCCAGTGTCTCAACGACACACTCCAGTTGAAATAATATATCTGGACTTCTCTAGGGCTTTTAATCGCGTCCAGCACTGAATACTTCTTTTCAAGCTGAGGCGTCTTGCAATTTGAGGCGAATTGTTGCAGTGGATCGAGGCTTTCTTCATCGGGAGAACTTTTTCTGTGCGCGCCAGTGATAGAAAGTCTTCCATCCATCGTGTAGCGAGCGGAGTTCCCCAAGGCTCAGTCTTGGGTCCCGTGCTTTTCCCTTTGTACACAAGTGACCTGCCCGCCTTGCTGTCCACCACATGTTCTGCTTATGCCGATGAGACGAAGATTTACAACACCGTTATAAATTCTTGTTCTGCTTCAGCGTGATCTTGACATTGTATGTCAATGGTCAGACAGTTGGCTCCTACCCTTGAACCTACCAAAATGTTGTGTTTTGCACCTATGATCACACCATCGAAGCGGTCTCTAGTCAAACTGGTATTGGCAATGTAGTCAACGGCTGTTTATCCTGGTCAGAGCATATAAACAACGAACCACCCAAGCCAAGAGCTTCCTATGCATGTTGGAGAGGGCTTTCGACACCTGCGCCTTAACTTACAACACATGCGTAAGGCCAATTCTCGAATTTGCTGGCCCTCTATGGGAAACTGTGCTTGTACACGACAGGAATTTCCTTGAAGCAGTACAGCGTCGCGCAACAATTCCACTTGACCACATTCTCCGACCGAAGAATTCGAGGCGATCTCATAGTTACCTTTATAAAACTTCATGACTTGGTTTTAGCATCAACCTGAAGCACCTATTTCAACCAATATCCGCGGTCACAGCTTAAAAACTGCAAAGGGAGCCGTTTAGAACGACAATCTGACAGTGGTTTCGCCCCGGTCGCATTTTCAACACTTGGAATAGTTTACGAGAAAGTGTGGTTAATGCTATGTCAGTCAATAACTAAAGTGTATTATGATAAGTGGAACAGTGAACAAACTTTATAGCTATGAACTTTTTGTTTTTATAGCTATGTATTTGATTCTCCTTATCCGTAAACTAACGTTTTCCTTTTGTACTTGAGCCTTTTTCATAGTATTGTACTCTGCTCGTTTCTAGTTTGTTATAATAATAACTTGTAAGTTACTATTTCACCAGAATTGTAGACAAACTTGCATGTAAAATCCAACTGATTGATTTTCATTCAGGACTCCTGGAGTTGCAGAATGAGTCAGCTGTTTTGTTATCTCGGCCAGTTACAGAACAAAACTCAATAACGTGCGTTCGACTAACGTAGTGAGCTTAGCCTTTGACAAATGACGCCAGTTCCGAACTATTACCAAAAAGAAGTATAAAATAATTTAGGTTTACAAATGTACTTTTTGTAGATCCAATTTGTACTTATGACGTACATTTGCATCATTTGACAAAAATGTTGAACAATCGGGTAAAACTCTAATGCGAATTCATACTTTTTTATACTTACTATTTATTACCTTCGAATGTAACATTTATGAAAAAATTACTTTGGGGGATATTAATGTAAAGGCTTACGAAATACGTATACACATATAAGATAAACCGCCCGTATAGTTTTCTCGGTTATTGACATTGAGTAGTGTCCATGGAAAATCTCAACACCGTTATCTTGAGAGAGAAATGAAATGAGTAATGGCATCTATTTATCATAAACATAGTGATACATAAAAAAGTGAATACTCATTTATCACAATTACATACCAAAACATTAAGACTAATTAACTCTTAGTTCTTGGATCCCATTTCAGCACGGTCGGATAGTCTTACTATGAATGCTTCAGACTTTTTTGATTTTCTATAGAAATGAAGCGTACAGTAAATGCTAAAAGTACTCATGGAAAGCCTTGTTCAATTCATTATCAACGATGCTCGCTAAAAAAATACTTGTGTGAGTAGGCCTTAATAATATTCGCTTTAGAAAACATAGTAAATAAAAAATTCTTTACTAAGTTTTGTGATATAGAAGGAAGTAATTTATTTTTTGAAACTGACAATCAAGACGCCTCCAAACTTCCGAGAACACTCTTCCAAACAAAACCTCAAATTTTCGAATATTCGCCTGCAGGTTGCTCTTGAGATTGTCGCCATCTTAACAAACAATTCGCTTCAATTGGTCGAGGGTTCTTGGATTATTATTCAACATTCTAATTTTGAGATACCCATAAGAAGAAATCGAGAGGGGACAAGTTAGGGCCACCACAAAGGCAACTAATGCCACCACTCTTCGATATCACTTTTCCGGGTCTGTAAATTATGTAATGGGGCTGTTTATTTTTTTTTAATTTTTCTTTTCAAATATAATTACAATTTTGTAATATCACCCTCAAACTGGCTTCCTTTTGAAGCCACACAGCGCTGAAGGCAGTTTTTCTACCCCTCATAGCAGTGCTGGAATTCCGATACTGGAACAGCCTTCAGTTGGTGGGTTACAGCCATTTGAATGTTTTGGACTATCTCAAAATGCGTTCCCTTGAAATTATTTTTCAACTTCGGGAAGAGAAAAAAATCACAAGGACTCAAGTCAGGCGACTAAGGAGGCTCAGGAGTCGCCGGAATGTTTTTACTGCCCAAAAACCCGTTTATTGACATTACTGTGAGACAATGAGCATTATCGTGATACAACACCCAGTTGTTCTTGATCTGAAGAACGGTGATGTGAGTCAAAGTTGACTCTTCTCCGGTTATTCTGTTTGTTTTTTTCCGTTTCGTACGATTTAAGTCTTGTACAGAGGCAGTCTCAAATCACATGTCAACATTGTCTCAAACTCGTACTATCAATACTCAGTCGCTAAAGGTCTACGTGTTGAAAGCTCTGCATCGAATCGCTCAGATTCGCTCACTTCCCCTATTCTTTGATCTGTTTCCACACTTAGCTGGCGACCTTGTTGATTTGTTGGCTATATCAAACCGGTTTCTTCAAACCTCTTTAACCATTGTTTCATTAAATTAGTGCTAGGGTTTATACGCCGAAATCCATATTTGACCCGACATGAACGTCTCACAGTGACGAAAAAAATTATTCTCAAAGAACGCTTGCACGATGCACGCGCGCTGTTACCCTTCCCAGAAATGTATCATTCACAAAATCGATTTTTTTTTATATTCCTACCACCACGAAGACCTAAACACCCATGGGGTACCTAGGGGCTATAGAGGAGAGGCGGCGTCACACGGACCCTAGCGAGGGAACATGTGTGCATGCAGAGACCGTGTACCACCTACATTCATAGCCAAGAGAAAAATCGTCTCTGAACGGGATTGGAACCCGCGCAGCGCACTGCGACTGATTGGTAGACCTATATCTTCTATCACTACGCCACCGCTATAGCCTAAACGTTACCTAATACCCTCCTCCAGCGTTTCCGCCCGCGTTTCGCGCTTCTATTTAAAAACAAACTCGAATTTCATTATGTCCACCCTGTATATATATATATATATATGTTTTTAATTGTACTTTGTACCTAGAGGAAACACACCAAAGCTGTCCGTCCAATCCCACCACCAAAATGATACAAGTATTCATCAATAATACGAAAAATTTAATGAAGGCGATAACATATTTTTAAAACTACTCATTGGTTTGGTTTAATAATACTGTGGTGTAATACAACATTATATGTTTATATACTACGCACTTATTTATATTATCATTTATTCCTTGTTTTGGGTTGTTAAAATTAGGATTTATAGAACAAGCAGGAATGGTAATGGATACTCCAGTTTTATTTCGTACTACTAATAGTCATTGTTCGTCAGAGCGGTCCGGTGGACCTTTGCTCTTAGTTAAAAGTTTCGTCGGTCTGTTAGTCTGTCAGGTCTGGCTACCTAGATACCAAACATGTTTAAGGGGAAAAGGGAAAGAAGGAAAGAAAGGAAAGAAGAAATAGAGCAAAGAAAACAAGTAAATTATCTGAAATAGCTTAAGCATTATTGCTTTGACTACTCGAATAATTTTGTAACTCCAAAAAATAATTTTGATCAGTTTTGTATACTGAAAAAAATAATTTCTGCTTTTTTTAATCGTTACCAGTCACCGTTATGTCACAGCTTTTTAGTTTTGAACGTTAATACAGTGATGTTATCATCAGGAAAAAATAAGAAATGTTCAAACTTGACCTTTCACGATCAATTCCAGATTTCTGAAAGTTCGTTCTGCTTCTAATTATTTGTTCATGCCAAGGTTGCCCTTGTGTCAAGAACGGGACATCTTTGTGTTTTTAAAGTTGGTGAAATAAGAATGTTCAACTTACCTTTTTTATGCTTCTGCAATTTATGATACCTGAATCAAGTCAATTTGAAAGAATCTTATTGTATTATCAAATAATTATAGGATAATTTATTATCGCTATACACTATCAAAATATGATACATAAATATACTAAGTGACATATAAATCCGAACACCCAGTTTAAATGGTTATTTTAATAAAAGTTGGTGAATGTATTTATCTTACTGTAAATAACAAGTGAAAAAATTTTCAACCTTATCAGTTGGACATTCCGGTTTTTATACTGCTTTTTTTAATTCACTAACGCTCTAAAAATGAATATTTCAGCCGCAGTAAAGAATCAACGTTGGCGGATTTTGGTTCTTGACATCCTTACGATCGGTTACGATGCCTAGAGTACGGAGACCTGTACGATTTCGTCAACTTAATGAGTTTGATAGGGGCCGTATAGTGGGACTTCGGGAAGCTGGACTTTCTTTTCGGGCAATTGCAGTTAGAGTGCAAAGAAGTGTAGACACTGTGGTTAGGTGCTGTCAGGCATGGCTTCGAGCAGGCCGTACGCAAAGAGCAAGGGGCACTGGACGCCGCCGTAGAACAACAGACCGTGAAGATCGCCGCCTAAGATTATTGGCCTTAAGGGACCGTTTCTCCACTACCAGGTCCATTGCAAATGAATGGTTTGCAGAACACGGAAGACCTATTGGCATGCGCAGCGTTATATCCACGAAGTTCTAGAACCCCATCTTTTACCCTATCTTGACACCCTGGCAGATCCAACTTTCCAACAAGATAATGCCCGACCACATGTTGCAAGAGTCATAATAGACTTCTTTCAACATAATGATGTCACATTGTTACCATGGCCACCAAGATCTCCCGACTTATCCCCAATTGAGCACGTGTGGGATATGATGGGTAGGAGATTGCTCAATTTGCAACGTCCTCCTCAGACTCCAGAAGCACTTCGAGAGGAGTTGGTGGTTGCCTGGAATGAGATACCACAGGAGGACATTGACCACCTGATCAGAGGCATGCCTAGGCGCGTTGGAGAATGCGTAGCATATCAGGGTGCATCCACACATTATTAAAGGTCAAAGGGCTGTAAAGCAGTGCAATCGTTTTGAAATTTTTATCATTTACTTATTATGCTTCATTAAGTACTTATACAAAATTTTATTAAAATAAAACCATTTAAACTGGGTGTTCGGATTTATATGTCACTTAGTATATTTATCTTTTTCAGTGGCGTGATTAACTATAAATGTCTCTGCTCTAAATAACTTAATTGAATAGTTTTTCGTTCCTGCCAACATGTTTAATTGAATCTCAAAAAACACGTTTTCTCATTCTTTGTTGTTGAATAAAAAGTTTGCCCACAAAAATTGGTGTACCTATTTTATGCGTCCATGTTTTGAACAACTTGCATCAATGAAGCCAAACTTTACAATTATTTCGCAAAGCAGGGCAATTTTCGTCTAATATGATTAGACTATAATGGATCTGTGATAAAATAATAAAGTACAAGCTACCCTTTTGTACGCTTCTGCGATTTATGATTTCTGAATCAAATCAATTTGAAAGGATCTTATGTATTATCGTAACAACTATAGGATACTTCATTACCACTATGCACTATCAACATAGGATACATAAATATTTATCTTTTTCAATAGAGTGATTAAGTATATGTCTCTGTTCTACATAATCCAAGGGAAAACCAGATTCAAAACAACAAATCTAAGAAATGATCTCACTTTTCGGAACTGTAGTGTAATTGCGAGATAAGCACATCCAAATCTCGATTTTTATATTGTCATGAATTGACCTCGCAGCAAAGGTTAAACCTTAATCTAACCATTCAACGCTCTCTGAAATTAAGGTTCTGAAATGAAAGTATACCTTTAAACAGTCATTATACAAGGATCCAAAAATTCGTATGCTACAACAAAAGTATACTTATTAATAAATTCTCACAGTAAGTACAGTACAAGTACATTAAATCGGGTTACTTTTAGGCAAACCGCTTGAAATGTTTCGTTATGAACATTCAGCTTGTACTTGTTATCGTACAGATAGACTTCTTGGAACTGAAGCTTTCGAAATTTTCTAGAAAAGTATATCTGCAATACTTATATATGTACGTCGTAGATACATAGCAATCACAAACTCGTGAATGATCTTTAATATGCTGTATAGTTAGTTAATAAAATTGGTACCGATCACCAGCAAGTACGGATTTGATATAATCAAGTTTATAAGGTTTGTCCGACCACATGTAGTGTCCATCACGGTATATATTTCGTAGGTTTTATACAAGATGTTAACTTAGCACAAGCTGTTGTATACTTGTTGTGAACTCATTTGTAGCTGTACGTTCTCTTTAAAACGTCAGCGAACAAACGTGGAATGAACTATTTGCACAATAAAAACTACATAGTCTGCAAGATGACATTTCGTCGCTTTTTATGTTTTTTAGGTCTTATTCATAATACCCGTGCGGGTTACTTTCACAGTCGCCCATTGTCAGACTAATTTGTGTTGGCTATGCAAAACTCGTAGAACAAAATTTAGTTACATGTCAAACAAATAAACTACCTACAACATGTCTCGATGTGTTTGCCAGATGTTAGATTTGAAGTTCGCGTGGAGGTTGGAATGTCCATCTGTTACTAGTTAAATTGAGAATGTGGATAACACAGCGTTTGTTATTAATCAGTTTGCATATCGACAGATGATAGCCTTCAACAAGAACCTGTACTGTTTTGTGTAATGTAGTTTAGATACATAGTGAGTCAGCGTTGTTGTTAGCATCACTCACTTTCCGCGATATTCAACAATGTGTTCCCTGTGAATATATGTATAGTTCAGTCAATTTATATCGCAGTGCGAAAGCTTTAAGCCAGAGTTCCCCAAACTTTTTTGTGTCGTAGACCCCTTGCCATGTTTTTCTGTTTTGGGTAGACTTACCTGATATTGATTTCCTGTAAATTTCTAACTGTAGTGAAGTCTAGTGTTAAAACTTAAAGTAAAACACATGTTAATTTATACATTTATTAATTGAATTTAAATTAAAACTACTCAAAATAAAATTTTGTATCTCTTATGTAAAATATACGTAACATTAAATAAACAGGTGTCTGACCAATAAGTGCCCGCATGGGGAATAAGTGCCCGCATTGAAAAAAAATAAGAGGGATAAATAAAAAAAAAGTGAAAAATAAAAAAAAGTTTTTACATAAAATAGTACAATAAGCGAGTTCGTTGTTAATTATAACATAAACGTATGTTCTACAATACTTTCTCTGTTAGTTTGATTAAATTCCGCTTCTTATACGTTAAGTTATCTAAAAATAGGCAAAAAATTAACGAATTTTCAGAATAACTTAAAAAAACAAATATTTCCTATAAAGGGGGGTTCTTTAATAAAATCAATGCGGGCACTATTCCCAATGCGGGCATTTATTGGTCAGACACCAATAAACATAAAATAAACTATAAATAAAATAACATAAGCAATAAGTCAATATTTTAGTGATAAGGATGAACCTGATGCTTTAATAATAAATTATCTACATTTGGCGTCAATTTTGTAAGGCTAATCTTTAAATCTCCTCGGCTAATGATGTCCAGTCTGTTTCTTTTTTTCGTTAGGAGATTGGTAACAGCGCTGAACCCCCTTTCCACTAGGTATGACGATGGAAAGGAAATTAAAAATTTCAGTCAGTTCCTCTTGTATTATGACATTCGTTTCTTCTATGTCACCATATGGATTAATTGTTCACGGTGGTATTACCATAGTCAAAATATCCTCAAACCTAGATTCAAATCTGAATAGAGGGCATTTAAATGTTGACGTAAGTTGAAACGTCGTCTTCCTGGCAGCTTGTCTGTGACAAATTGGGGAACTGAGAAAATTCGCCCCGCCAATATTTTGCTTCATAAGTTTAACTCTGGCAGAAACGCTGATAAGAGGGACTTTGTTTTAATCAAATTTAGACTGTCGCCTTGTAATTGCAAATTACCATATTAAGTTTTGTAAACAAATCTGTTAAATAGGCGATGTCTATTTTCCTCTTCATTAAATTTTATTTTAATATTTTATTTTTAGTATCCAGAAATTCTAAAATAGTCTCAAAAGTGCAAAAAATCTTGTCAAACATAAGCCTTTCGAGAGCCAGCGTTCTTCAGTGTGAAGGAGTAATTGATGAAAGTGTTCGTCATTTTCTTCACACAACTGCGCAAATAACCGCGTATTCAACGCGTTGCTTCGGATTCGGTTTACTGCATCAATGACTAAATGAAGTGATTCATGCAATCTAAAACTCAAATTTTAGCAACTAAAGGCTGCTGCACAATTGCCCGGGAACGGGAACGAGAACGGAAACGAGAGAAAAGTTCAATTACATATTATCCAATACTCCAATACATACATGCACAACAAACGGAAAACGGCAACGGTAACGGAACGAAACGGAAGAGTTGGCCAAGATTCATAAGTGTTGTCGATGGATGACGCAATGTATTGATAACACCCCTGACACATTTTGTTTTAAATAGCTTATAAATCCACGATAACGTCCAACCATGGCAGGTGCTCCATCTGTAGCTACTGATATTATATTTGATAAAGGAATTGCTTTTTCAATGAAGTAATCCTTCAAAACATGAACTATTGATTCACCTTCAGTGTCGGTTATCAAAGTTCTTGCGAAGAGCAGTTCTTCGTAGATTTCTTGATTCATAATAAAACGAACATATGCCAATAATAATGCTGCATTATCAGGTAAAGTTGACCCGTCCAGTTGTATAGAGAAATGGGTCGTTGCAAATAATTACATAAGAAGCTTTCAATATCAGAACTCATTTCATCAATACGTCTTTCAACAGTATTGTTACTTAAGGGAATTCTTTTAATGATATCAGTTGCAGGTTTGTGTAAAACAGTTTTTAAAACCTCTTCAACAACCGCTGGCAAAATTAAATTCTCTCCGATAGTATGCGTTTTTCCGGATTTTGCTATAAGTAACGAGATATTGTAAGACGCCCGCAAACCATCATCATTTCTTTGTGACGTCGAAGCGAACAGTCTGTCCAGTGTAGGTCTCTTCCGAAATTTATCTTTGAGTGTTTGAAAGTATTTCAAATCTTTCTCTGTTTTATCAGGGTGCATCTTCTCAGATGATCTTGCAGTTTAGATGGTTTCCTAGCGTCATTGCCCAAAACTTTGTTGCATAAAAGGCACATAGGCGATTGTTGTCCGCAATGATGGAATGAAGCCAAATTTCAAATAACCAACACTGTACTGCCTACATTTCCTTTTAGATTCCGACATGGCATCAGTCATCTGTGGGCAAAATTAAATTATTAAATAAGACAGAAAATGCAGCAGCTGCATATTAAAAATATATTGATTTTTCCGAAAACATTCCATAATTCAAACATCTTCTTGCAACAATTAGCTCGATTTACGGAGATTGCACTGTAATTATATTACCGATTGCGAAAACTTTCAAAAAGAAGCTATTGAGGAGTACTCGTGTAATTTGCCATGATTGTACTTACTTTTCTCCAGCACTCTCAAATAAAATAACACTGACTCACTATAATTTGTGTGTTATACTATCTGTTTATATTTTTTAAAATATTTTCTTAGCACTTTCCTTTCAAGATTCAGGAAACGAATAAACTTATTTGTCCCCACATTCGTATTTATAGAGTGACGAATTGAACAAGTCAGTGCAAGGTAGCGAAGCTCTGAGACTGCGACTCTCAGGTTTTTACAAGTTCAAAACGTATTGCGACCACAAAGCGAATACCAACATCCTACAACTTACCCAATTTTATAAACATATATAATAAATTTTTTACTTCATAGGTACTTTTATAAATAATGTATATGTTTTGATATTATAAGATGTAAGTAAATAGGTACTATCAGTGTATGTGTTGAGATCCACTATCGTGGATCCCCACATTCATTTCATGGACCCCCAAATTTTTTTTCGCTGACGTAGACCCCTTGCAGGTTATCATAGACCCCCAGGGGTCGATATAGACCACTTTGGAAATCAATGCTTTAACTAACCTGACAAATCTATGTATTATCGATAGGTACTTCGTAATCAAGCAAATCAAAGGGAAGTCCTCAAAGGATAGCCATCCACCGCTGAAGTGCACAACACAGTAATGACGAAGTTTCCTATTTTTTGAAATACACTCAAAATGTAAGTCCACGTATAGCACCGGAAAAAACGTTTAATATCTTGGAAAGTGAAAAAGTTACGCTACCCAGAAGTTTCTTATTTGGAGAATTATCAGGATGGAGCGTGTTACCGAGTGATGTCGACACATTAAGCCATGTACAGATATGTAACAACACCGCGTACCGAACCACGCGACGAACCCGCGCCGCGCTAGTGTAGACGGTGAAAAGAACGCCGTCGCGAACCTGATTAGCCCAATCAAGGCTCTGTCGGTTTTTGAGCGCAACATCAAAGAAATGGCTCGCGACGAAGTTACACATGTTTGGACAGACATACCGGTGCGGCGAGCACCAATGTGTTATTTTGTAATGTACAGTACTTAGAAGTATATAATTATTTTTCTTACTTGCATATTTTCCTTAAAACTTCGATCAATGCCTCACAAACTTCTGGAATGATGTAGCTAATCGATTGCTTTGAAATTCGAAACATGTATTGCAAACTACTATATGAATCACCGGTCACTAAAAATGGCACCGTGACTGCAAGTATTTCTTGCACTGTAATGGCAGCTGCCCATTTTGTATCTCGTTTTCGTATCTTTGGTCCAATCAACGTGAGAAGATATTCAAAATCCGTCGGAGACATCCTCGTAAAACGTTGTACTGACCACTCACTTGTTGAAATTTCAATCCGCTATCAAATTGTTGCAACCGTGTGCTGATCTATTGCAGCTTGTTTTTGGATAATAAGTAATGAATATCACATCAAAAGTGGATCGTCATTTTGTTGCGCGATGTCGTTGAACGACTTCGTTAGGTTTGTGGTGATGTTCACCATGTTGTTACATATCTGTACATGGTTTTATACTAGCTACATCGCCTCCAGATAGCGCTGCGCTGCTTTGTTCCGTATTTACAATTTTCGGTAAAGGCTGGTAAAAATTGGATCAGGCCTTCGACTTATAAATACTGTATTGTACCTTGTGTACAAATACGTGCATATTCGCTTCCATAAAAACATTGTTTCACCTATGTCAGCGTCTGTCAACCTGTGCCCCCCCCCCCCTGGGGGGGCATGTCAATATTAAGGGGGAGGTCATATTAGAAAAAAACACTAACAACATTGAATAATTTACTAAAAGGAAAGAAAACACAAAATTCCGGACATAATCAAAAATAAAATACACCGTAACACTGATACAGTAGGTACACTTATAAAAACCACTGTATTTATCAATACTAAATTAAAAATAAGTTTAATAATATTAATTGTAAAAAATAATATTACTGGTGACACCCTTGGGCCTGCTTTGCCGAGCAAAGCTTGTCGAAACAAGGTTTACTGTTTGAAATAGACACTCTGGGTTCTTTTTCTACATTTAGCTGCGATATATATTTTTGGTCTTCAAAGCAGCCACCGTCGAAGATCCTGTTTCGCAAATGTAGAATGTTGAAAAAGGTAGTAGTATACGGAACGCTCTGGTTTTCAATGCTGAAAACTCATCGTTCACGCCTGCCCAAAAATTCAAAAAGAGATTTATTATTAAACTATTTTTTTGATTTAGGCGTTTGCCGTCAAGTCTATGGAGATTTCTTCTTCGGCAGTTGAAAGCCCTTCGGGAGTAATTTAAAATGGATTCCTAGCCGACTCGTAACTAAGTATTAATTTGTCGTCGGCAAGAAAATGAAAAATTCCTTGTCAGAATCACAAAACGATTCACA